TGAGGGCCGTACGGGTAACGTACGATCCAGCACGGAAAATAAATGGTGCGTCTCTCCGCAGGGCAACTGGGACACTTCTGGCAGTGAACTGAGCGAAGGGGAGCTGGAAAAACAGAGGAGGACTCTTTTGGAACAACTGGATGAAGATCAATGAGAACATTATTTATACCAAATATGTTTACATGGTGGCATAATAAAAGAAACCAATGTCTAATTCAGGACGTGGGTTCTGATATCCCGAATTCCATTGTTGAAAAAACAGTGGGTTTTAATTTTACCCCAGCAATACCTTTGAGTACTATTGTTACAGGCCTGGCATCAAACCTAGACAAGTGAATGAAATTCTGAGGTCGGAGTTGAGTGTCCGTCCTGGACCTGCGAGGCGGGATGGGTGCCCCGCTCACCGCGGAGGGAGCACCGTGGCGGAGGTGTTGCCCCGTGTGCCAGATCTTGCCTGCAGGCCCAGGGAAGCGTTGGCACCTTTCTAGCAAAGCATCTCTTTCTAGAAAGGTAGTCACGCTGGTTTGCCTGGCCAGGGTAGGCAGATAAAATTTCATTTTTAGAAAGAGATTGTTCATATAGTTTCTTGTGGTTTAATTTGTTTTTATTTTGGAAAGGGGAAGGCGATGGAAGGAGAGGAATGAATCCCATTTCTTGATCTGTACTGCAAAACAAAACAAAAAATAATAATCAGATATTGGAGTTGCTGTTTTGTGAACTGCGTCACTGGCCGAACCAACGCTGAGCTGGTGCACGACACGAAGGCCTGACTTCCCGGCTGAGACCGGCTCCAAGGACCGCCTCGGAGCGAGTTTTTAAGGCAAATTTTCAAACCCCTGGAATTGTGGTCGATGGGAACAGAACGGGCCCTCCCTTGCGGTGCTGGCAGAGGGTGCTGTGTGTCACAGCTGCCTCCGCCGTTCCCCTGAACCGTCTGGAGCAGCTGCGGTGTTATTCCAGCGTTTATCTTCACGTTAGGAAAATTTAAAAGTGGAATTGTGCTGAAATTCCATGTGTTGCCTTAAGGACCTGCTGCACAGTGTACCACCGCCTCTCCGCAGCAGCGGCGTGGCTGTGTCCAGAACATCCCTGGGACAGGGGAGAGGAAAAAGCCAAAGCCCCGGCTCCTGTTTGGGTGCCCCTGGCCAGTTGGCTGTTGGGAAGGTTCTGCCAGCCCTGCTCGGGCACGGGACACAGTCTGAAACTCGCCCAGGGGAGTGTTTTTGTACATTTTTATCAATAATTAAACCTCGTCTTCTAGCGTGTACTGGTATTTTTTTCTCGTTTTCAATACCCTGTACAGCTCTGATGAATTATTGCTGTCTCTGATCGTTGGGTGCCAGCGAAGTGGGTGCTCACGGAACTGTTGGAAGACTGTAGTGGGAATTCTGCTTCCTTTTCAGTGCTTTTTTTTTTTTTCCTCATACGTGACAGCCCAAATCCCCAAAAGGTCCAGTTAAAACCCTGCGCTCTGGCTGGGGTGGTTGTGTGATTCAGCCCGATTCTTCGGAACACGATTTGAGATTGGAATGAGGCATTTGAAATAGGAATCGCTGGCAGCTGCGCCGCTGGACTCGGCAGGACCCGAGGCCTTTTTTTATGGAGGTGAGGTGGGATCTGCGGGGTGTCCAGTACAGAGCACGCTCCAATCCTGTTGTTTTCCAGCAGGGAGAATGGGAGTTGCTCATCCCCGACTCATCGCTGATCACTTAGGGAAAAAATACCTGAGTTTGGTCCAAGGTGACCTGCGATTCGTTGTATCCAGTGCTGCGTTTCACATGAAAACCTGGGAATGGGCCAACTGGAGCCTTGGCAGCAGCTTTGTTCCCAGTTTCACCCTGCAGCACGTGGCTCTCCCAAGGATGGGTGGTAGCTGCTGCTCCTGGGACTGTTCACAATCCGCTGAGACTTTAAACATGTATTTTGCTAATTTTGTAAATCCACTTTCCTGGATTTGCGTTGTATTGGAATGCGTAGCTGGGGTAGCAGGTGGCAGTGCCCGAGTGGGAACCAGCCCAGCTGTGGTTTGGAGCAGAGGAGAGTAACGGTTCCCTGTCGTGGTGATGTAGAGCTGGGATGGAGAGGGAGCAAACTGGTCGTAATGGTTTGCAAACGTGTTAGAGCTCGTGTACAATATTTTGTTACTGCCTTGCGTTCGCTTAACTTGCAGAAGGAGAAAGCGTTTCTAAGTGAATATTACTTCTAAAAGGTTTGCCTTTATTTTTCCATTAAAAAAATTAAAAATTGTAAATGGAAGATACTCTAGTGGGTTTTTTTTTTTGTCTGTCTTTTAATTAGATCTTGCAAAACATGCATCTTAAAAGGCGACTGCTTTCAAAACACTCCTGGCAAGGCATAATTCGTTTTTAAGGGAATGAGTTCAGGCTTTTTTGCAGGGTTTTGCGTTTTCCCTCCTCTTTCCTCTTCCGCAGCCTTGTCTGTTCTCGGTCCCCGGTGTGGCAGAGCCGCGGTGCCCGCGCAGCACCCGTCTCTCCGGCCCGGGCAGCGCGATGATGCTCTGAGCTCAAACTCTCCATTTCTGCCTTGAAATTAGAAGGAGTTTTAGCAAGATCCATGATTTTGAAGAGTTAACAGTGGCTGTCAGTGTTTCAATCTGCCTATGAACAGAGCTACTGTTTTGCCCAGCTCGCTGGCCCTTTGAGATGGTTTAGTCCCGATTCCCACCTCCCCGCTGCCATCCTGCAGCTCCTGAGCTCCGGCCCTGCCGGAGTGGCTGCACCCGCTCTCTGCATTTATTTTGTTAAATCCTCCTAAAAATTAAATCTGAATTTTGACTAAAGCAGGAAGTAGTTCTCTTTTAAGTAGAGAACTTAAATATCTGTACTGTTGTTTTTCAGGTATTTGTGGCAAAATACCGATGGCCACAATTACCTGGAGACTTCCTTTGGCATCGGTGATGCGGGTTAATCGCTGGCAGCAGGAGCCGGGTACCCAACAGCAGGAACCCACGGCAAAGGCGGCCTTGGCGCAGCGTGAGCGCTGCAGGGGCTGTGAAAGACCCTCAGAGAGTCCCTATTCCCCCTTTCCCACCTCCAACAGCCCCAAAAAGTTACACTTTGGAAGGGGAGAAAGGGGGGAAAAAAAAAAACCAAAAACCACAAAACCAAACTTCTCTCTGCCCCTGCTGGCAGCTCCAGCCGTTTACCTCCAACATACCACTGCAGGTGGGGAAAAAAGAAAAAAAAAAAAAAACCCTAAGGGTGACAAAAACCCACTCTGGGTTATGGTGTAGTAGTGTAAATAGTTTATTTGATCTTATGCCAGGAACAGACCAGGAAAGTAACATGAACTGCTTTTATAAAACACTTCTAATATTGCTAAGAAGCAGAAAAATTACTTTTTTACTAGAAAATATTAAAGAGAACATGCCAGCATTATACTCGCGTTGTATGATAATTTTTGTCTTCAATTAAAAAAACAATACCTTTGAGCTTAAGAACGTGAGAGCTCCTGCTTTTAACCGCTTGCCTAACAATTTTTTGAATTAAATTTTCTTATGCAGATTAAAAGCCTCTTCTGTCACTGCCAGTGAAGAAAGAGGCGGTATGTGGCATGTTCTCTTTAGCATGTCGAGCACACGTGGCTGTAAATGCAAGAAGGTGGCAGTTTTTAAAGAAAACTTCCTGTAAATAGGTAAGCAGAGGTCAACGTGGTAACTTTGAGCCCCGAACTGTCCATTTAGTTAAATATAAAAACAAAAACTATAAGTTAAAATAACATTCAGATTGTATAGCACAGGCTGATGCATTTATTTTTTTTTTTTTTTAAACAATATTTACAATATTACCCAGAGGCTAAAGTGGGGATAAAAGAGAAGTGTAAAAACCATAAAAAACTGCACCAATTTTGTAGCAAAATATCTGTACATTTAAAAACAGATTATCATATAACTACACATTATCCAAGAAAAAAAAAATACGGGACCTTCACCAGTGGTTCACATAAGCACAACATAAAAGAAGAAGAAACTCAGTGGTTAAATACTATACAATAAATTTTACAATTAACATATTGATGCAATGAGACCAGGAAAGGGAAGCTGTAAGCACAACGGAGCTCGGAAAGTACAAATCCCTCTTCAGTCCAGTTCTTCACTCCGGAGAAGCTCGCGTACGCTGCCGGCACCAGTTTGGCCACACCGCGCTGCTCTGGGGCACTGGTGCGAGCCAGTGGCGTGCCATGCTGCCCAAGGTGGTCTCCTGCCCCTTTTCAGAAGCTGTCGCCCACGGGGATGGCGCGGGTGGGCTGCGCTGCGCTCCCCCAGCGACCCTTCACCGGGAAACTGGAACCGGATTGTCCGCTGGAGCGGGGTATGGATCCCCCGAGCAGGGCGCAGGGCCCTTCTCTGCGCGAGTAACTGAACTGCGACGGTCCTCGGAGTCCTAATACTGATTATTGAGATGTTAATAATACCTTAGTGCTAATTAATAAATACGCTGTTATCCAAAAGCTGCCTCCAGCTGGAACCCACAGCACGCGCCTCCGCCACCCTCCTCGCCGCGTGCGTCGCCAACACCTCCGTCCTCCCCAGCCCCACCGTGCCCCACGCTGCACCCCACGGGCATCACACCCTCCGCGTGGTCCTTGGCTACACGTCCCGTGAGCGCTGCCGTACACAGCCCCACGGCCCAGCTACGGTGGCGCAGAGGGAAAAGGTACCAGGTCTGGGAATTATTTCTCTATTATATATAGGAAAGTCCTTAAATGTCTTCCTTTTTTAAAAAAAACAAACAAACAAACAAAAAAACCAACCAAAAGCCAGTAAGTGCAGCTGAGGCCAAGGTTAACCCCTCGGTGGCCAGCACAGGAATGCATTTAAAAGCAGAGCACGTCCAAGTGTTACCTGTTCACGACCAGTTGGGTCCGCAGGAGACCCGTCACTAAACTTTTATATAAACCAACCTAAACCCCCCGAAAACAACACGTATTTTACATTTTGGTTAAAAATACTGAATAACGTATTGGTGTAAAAAGATACCCAATCAAATCAAGTCCTATTGCTTTGATTAATTTGAGCAGGTACTTCAATTTTAGGCACTTGTTAGCTACGGTTGAGTGGAGAGCCCAGAGCCGACGTTCCTATGCATTTGTCTCGGTCTTTGAGCCCTTTAGGTGAATTTTACTGTTCCCAAGGCTGATAACGAGTGGCAGAACACGAGCGTCACGCGGACAAGGAATCACTCCAGCACCCCCTTTCCTTGACACCTGCAGGCCTCCGGCTCACATGGTTATTTCAGCACCGTTCGCAGAGCGCAAGTTCTGATCGTCGAAGCGCCGCCGGACGCTCCTCCTCACCGCGTCGGCCCGTCGGTACGGCTGGTTTCGAAGATCTGCGGAGAGGAAAGCGGCGCTCGTCACCCGGCACGGCTCGCCCGCGCGCACGCACACACGCACACACGCAGTCTAGACAAGGGAAAAAGTCCTGCTGGAAGCCAATCAAAGCAGCTTGTGTAGGAACAGGAGAGGGGACTTCAACCCACGGAGAGAGCAGAAGGGAGCAAGTATTGACGTGCCCTCTTACTACGCACCCAAGCAGCAGGTAATACTGGTGAAACTAAATGGAGCGAGGCCGTCGAGTTAGCGTGAACGTCTCCCACCCATGGGCTGCTGGTGCTCGCCAACGGCAGGAACCAACTGGAACCAGTCTGCCTGACCTACACCTGATGGAATCTCAGAAGGGTTTGGGTTGGAAGCGACCTTCAAGACCACCCAGTTCCAACCCCCCTGCCATGGGCAGGGACACCTTCCCCTAGACCAGCTTGCTCAAAGCCTTGGTCCTTCACGCAGCCTCTCAAACGCTAATGTGAGCTGAAGGAGTTTTCCAAAGCGGGATGAAGCTCACTGGAGGTGCGTGACCCAGGGTACAACAGTGCAAGTGTTCAGCAACACAAGGAGGGGGCTGCGCTCCCTCTGCACCCATCTATTTAAAAGGGGGTGCCCTGAGAAAAAGGAGCTGGTACCCTGCAACTGGCTGGCAAAGCTCCAGCTGCTGTCCTGCCCCACTGCCACCACCTCGCCCAGCAGCAGAGATGCTTCGTTAGCCGAAGGCAGTGGAGTGGCTGACCCCCTCCCTCCTCTTCCTCCTCCTCCTCGCAGACCCACCCTCCCGCTGCTGCTGGGGAGGTGAGTGCATGGGAGGGCAGAGGTGGAACACTGAGCATGCAACAGATGGAATGGGGGAAAGCTGGAGATGGATGGGTTGATGAAAGCCTGGGTTACATGTGCAGTTACACGTGTTACATGTGCAGTTACACGTGTTACGTGTGCAGTTACACGTGTTACGTGTGCAGTTACACGTGCCACTATGATATAACGAGCACACTTGGTACACCTGAAGGCTAATTAAACTTAAAATCTGGAAAACAAATCTGCGCTGGACTGGGCAAACCCTCCCTCAGGTTTTCTGGATGACTTACATCTTGGTTTAAACACAACTCCCAACCTTCTCAGCTCGTGGTGCACCCCAGCAGAAGGTGCCTGTGCTTGAGGCTGCCCTCTCCCAGCTTCACGCTTTGAGGTGCTGGTTGTCCATCTCTCATGTCCTGCTTGGTGGCTGCAGCAGGACCGAGACGGGGCAGCAGAATATCCAGGGAACTATGGGGGACAAGACTGCCTACCTGGGGCTAAACTTGGGAGAGGACGGGCCAAAATGGAGAGAGGATGAAGACGGTCACCAGCCCATGGCCTATGGATCCCCTGCACCACAGAGGGTGGAAATAAACGGTCTCGGTCTCCACTGGCCTTTAGGCTCTCACCAGTATTACGCTTAGCCACATCTACCAAGAGGCTGTCTGGCATACAGAGAGAGGAGGAAGCTAAGTAAAAAGTGATGCTTGCCAGCTCTGTGTATCCTCCACCACCGGTGTGCTAGAAGAAATCCTTACCCTCGAGTGAACATTTGGAAATTTAGTGATATTATTCTTCTTTAGGGCTAAACAGAAAAAAAAAAAAAAAACAGAACAAAACAAAACACAAAATGATGGTTAAGTAAAAAAATGGGATGGAAAATGAAGAGCAAGTCAACTCCGCGTTCAAAACTCCCAGGCACGTTAGCCAACAGAGCAAGAAGGGGTGAGGCCGAGGCTGCGAGAGGAGGTTAGACACGGAGAGGGACGGGCAGGAGGGCCACCCCGGCCTCTCGCTAACCGAATTCCAAGCTGCTTTGAAGATTGGCTCCAGGAAGGCAACACAGCAATTAACTCGAAAGAGCAAATAACCGTTGAGCTGATTACAGTTTGCAATTTTTATTAGGAGCATTCGTAAAAATACACATCGCGGAAGTGAAACACCGTTGTCTTCTTAAGCCGCTGAGGCCTTAATTCAAGACAACGGTGCCACCAGGCATGCTGGGTTAGACACACCGCGCCAGGTGAAGCGCTCAGTTCCATGCCAAGCTTTTCCCCACGGCTCTGGCCCGTGGCTGAGCCTCTTCCCAGCTCAGCTCCTTCCCTCCACCCCGATCCCATCGCGCCCAACCCAGCCCCAGCACTGCGCAAAGTCCATATGAACTGGAACTGGCCAGTGCTCAGCAAAGAGCACTTTATAGATTTCCTTTCGATAAAGTTGGCATGGAACTGAGAACGGTTAAACACGGATGTGAGCGGACGAGAAAAGATTTCACGCTGTTTGTTTTATCCCCTATCTCGCATGCAGACAAACATGCAGGTGCTGGTTAGAAAGTCGAAAAGGAAACCCTGCTGGCAGAGGACGGATGCTGTTACAGACAACCCCTCCAGGCCAGAAAGCAAACCCCAGGAAAGTCCCACTTCGTTCATGCAGCGGGGATTTTGCTCTGGCACACAGCTGTGCCACATGCACTGGACACAGGCAGACTGGCCCGCAGAGGAGGGCTGCAGGCCGGAAGGGATGACATAGAAAAGCCAAGTGAACTGTCACTTTGTGACTGCGTCGGGTCTCCTTCCTCAGTCTCGTGAACTGTAGGAAACCTGCGCCCAATCTACCGTGACTTCCACCACTCGCTGTTCTATGGCATCTGCCATGAGGGTGAGAGATGCCTTTGAAATGCACGGATGGCCAAAAGCATCGAGAACAAAGTCGATGGGATGGAACAAAAAGTTACTGGAACACAAGAACATGCAACAGAGGGGACAAATACAACTTTAGGGGGGGACGCTGGACATTACTATACACTGAACATTCACATGGTCCTGGCTGAGATCCGCACAAACGGAGAAGTGTCAAAAATCTACAGCAACCTTTCTTTTTTCTAAGAGCATCAGATGTGAAAGAGGAATAGTTTAGTAATGGAATTCCTCAGTGAGAACGGGTTCGCAGAAAAACCGAGAGCCCCGCTTGGCGGTTCGAGCGGTAAAGGGCACAGTCTTCAGCACTGCATGGGAATAACAGCCAAACAGACAAACAGAGCCGTGAGAAGCGGATCCATGGCATTAGTCCGGTGTTAGTGCTCGGTTACGGACACCCAGGGGTGGACTCACACCTTCCACCGCCCTCCAGGAGCCTTTGGCAACGAGGCCATTGGAGCAGCTGAGCTTTTCTGTGCACCTGATGGGGCACCACCCAGTTTAAAACGACACTTTTCATCATTTCCGTACCACTCACAGATCTCCTGGGCCGTCGTGAAGTGACCTCGGTCCTACCTGACTGTCTGTGCCTAACTTCTGTTATCACATGGCTTGAGGCCCTCACAGACACCCCCATAATGGGCAATAACAGGCACGAGGCCGTAGGAAATGTTTAATTTGAGTCTGCTGCTCCCTCCATGGCCTGCCTTTTGCACGTGGATGGTCTTGGGCCACACAATCTGTTTCTCCCGCAGACCAGGAGAAGCACTTTACCAATTAAACAACCTTCCAGGAGTCTGAAGGAGGTGGAGAAGCAGGAAGAGATTAGATATTATAGTGACTCTCCCCTTTAAATAAAGAATATTATCTTAGGAAGCTATTAATCAGAGTTAAAAATAGTTGTGAAAGCTTCAAGCATTCCAGCCCTGACATATAGTTGGGCAAAAATTCCCTGGCATTCCTTAAGGTACGGTAAAACAGCTCTCCTGCCCTCCTGCAGGAAAAATGTGTGGAAAAAAGTTCAGGAGCAGCAGCCAGGAAATCCTGCCCAAAGACCTTCCTTTGAGCTTCTGTGCAATGGAAACAAAGTGCTGTAAAGCTACTGAGGTGCCGAAATCGTTTTTCTTTCACACCATGGGTGAAGAACGTGCAGTAAAATCAAAGTACTGCACTCAGAGCAGCTGTACAGATTCAAAATTATTTGACTCCTGAGCAAAATGCAGTTTAGAAGGTGGCTTTTTATCAGCAAACGTTGGCACCAAAGTCCTGACTGTCTCTGGCTACGACAGGGGGTTCTGCCCCTCTTCCTCCAGCCCCGGGTGGAGGCTCAGTGCAGGCTTTGCCCACCAAACTGAGCAGCAGTAAAACCAGAAGCAGTTCAGGTTCATAAACCATTCGGGTTTGACTAAATGATTTGCTGTGACTGTGCAATAATGTGCAATTACTGTTAGTACATTTTAACGAAAACGCAGGCTCTTAATAATGTTAACCATCCGTCATTCATTCCATTTACGGGGAAAAAAGGGGTCTCTGGGAAAGATCTGAACTGCATGCACAGCCCCACGGCAGCGTTTGCTGAGACCAGGCACTGAACTGGCTACTCCCAGGATCAGAGACCGAGTACTTCTCAACATGCTGCAAGAGAAGAACTAAGCACGAGAGCGCGTGCCCGAGGTCTGTGCACTGGGGCACGTGAAGGCAGGTTATGGGGTTGGTTTGTTACACACCACCAGCAGAAGTTCCAAGACTTGATTCACATCTATAAACCGTTTCCTAAGCTGTTGTGCTCGAGGAACGCTTTCTTAAGAAGAACACACGGCACTTACAACAGCTACTAGGCAGATAACCATTTCTATCCTTTGGGAAAGGGCCTCCGGGAGTAGGGAACAAAAGGTGTTTACCTGTTATAATATCTTCGATAGCACCATCCTTCCCCTCGTACACGTGCCTGTTATCCTTGACTTGCCGCCGCCGGAGCTCCGCAATCAGCTCTTGCTGCTGTCTCTTGGTTTTATGCGAAGGAGACTGAAAGCAAAGAAGAGAGGGTCTGTTCCGATGGGCTCCCGCCGTCCTGCTGCTCCCTCTGAGCCCAAAAACCACCAGGTGACCCCGCTGGCAGCAGTCAGCAACCAGTAACTGCCATTTTTCTGCCCAGTTGTGCTAGACCAGGGGAACACACGTGCAGGGATGGCTCACATCCCACGGGGAGGACGGGCAGAGTCACGAGCTGCCCCAGCTGCTTCTCCTTCTCATGCTTGTCACCTACTTCCAAACCTTCCCCTCGCTTGGAACTGGAGCTCCAAGCTCTCACCTCTGAAAAGCATTAGGGGAACGCAGAGGACAGGCTTTCCTTCCGAGGGAAAAAGCCTGGCTGGGATTACAGGTCCCTGTTAACCACGACAGCTGCGGGAAGCAGCACCGGCCGACGACGTGGCTGGTTCAGAGCCATGGGAAACTTCCTCTAGCAACTCGGAAGTGGTACCTCAGGAAACAAAAGCACATCAGGAAAATTCCTATGCAAGGTACTGCGGGGCTCAGCCCTGCTGCCGTGCTCTGGCACGGGAGGATGTGGGGACGACCGTTCCCTGTCCCTGGAAGCGACGGGAAGCTCGGCACACTGAATGCCCGCAGGGATTTGCCAGATCCAAGGCCAGAGAGGAACGGAGTTCCATCTCATGGCGACGTGGATGAGAGAACTTTGTTCAGTTTTTCTTACTTTTGCAGACTTCAGAAGTAGCAGAACCATACACGTAACAATTTCGGCTTATTTCAGTTCTCTCCACATAAGGAGAAAACTTCCAGAGACTCTTTCTAGACAGCTCTAAGTCCGGGCAACAGAAGTTCTTACACAGAGCTGAGGTTCTGAACTGCCAGGAAAAACACAGGAAGATGATGACTCCTGCCTCTAAGACGTATCTGTTTCCTACCTTTTGGTCCTGTTGCTCCATCAATGCTTCCTGCTCCATAAGTTTTTCCATTAAGGCCTGTTCCTGCTTTTTTCTCAACTCATTCTCTTCTTCTGCCTGCTGTGTATCACAAAAAGCACAGCTTTTAGCTTCCAATTGCTAGAGAGAACCTAAACATTACAAATGAGTAACGCTACCACTTGCTACCACGGGGCTTTCCAAGGAAGCAAGATTAGGTGCAGCAGTTCAGCTGCCTCTGAACACAGTCAGAAAAAACTGGGTGGGGAGGGACCTTCCAAGGTGGCACAAACCATCCTCTCCCAGTCCCAAAAGACACATATTTAGGGTTAAAGGTGTAAGATGCAGCCACTCAGGAATTCAATTTCCGAGGATTCCTCCAGCGTCTTCAGACAGCCCAGTTGGCTTTCAGTCCCAAAAATAATCCCCAAACGACTACTTGCCCTGCCCCGGGCCAGTGCTGCCGTGCTGTCGAGGACGGCTCATGTCATGCCAAAGCTAGAGGGAGCCTCAAGCTGCTTTTTGGGAGCCCGGAGCCACCAGGTACCGAGTCGGGTTGGGAAGGACAGAAGAGAAGGGGAGGATGCTCCTGTTTACCTTGTAGGCCTTCACAAACCGGACAAACACTGGGAAAAAGACCGAGGGGGGTGTCGTCTTGGGATTCTCCCCAAAGTACTTCACAGCATCATCAAAGGCATCCTGCAAAGATCACCGAATTACTGCGTTGCACAGATTCCCAACTAAATTCACCATCCTTTCCCACAGTGTTCGGTGTAAAGAGTCTGGATTTCCCCTGCACGTGAAACCTTGGCTCAGCCCAGCACACCTACGTTAGTGCCTGGACTCAGGAACAAATCCAGGACATCTCTGCACCTCCTGCTCCCTGCAGCGCCCACAAAAGCACCGCCTTCGCAGCAACGTTCTGCTGCTCCCTGCCACTCGCACCCCCTCGCCAAACCCCCAGAGTGAAGAAACACCTGGGCTATTTTGGCGTCATCTTGAAGTTTCTTCAGCTTCCCCTCGTTGTTCTGGATGAACTCCTTCAGCATGGTGTTGTGGTCGTGCATAGTGTACTCGCGTTTCGTCAGGTCCAGGCCCCTCTGCAGCTCCTTCACGTCCAAGAGGACGTTTTCAAGAGACACTAGGAAATAAAGCAAAGCCACTGCACCGCTCCTGCTGTGCCAGCACCTGAACCCACAGCACGAACAATTCCCCACCGAGAAGAGCCCCACAGCCCAGGTGTGCTGTGCTGTGATGTCCCTCCCATGGCATGCATGCCACCACCACGGGCCAGGCACGGCGGGTGACGGTACCTGCAGCAGCCTTCTCCACGTAATGAAGTTCATTGTAAAAGAGGGATACGTGCTGGTACTTCTCCTTGACCACGTTTGAGATATAGTGCAGCAGGGTCTGCTTTCGGTCTGTTGACTTTGTTTCGAGGAGCTGGGGAGAAAAGGCACAGAGATCATAGAATCATAGAATGGTTTGAGTTGGAAGGGACCTCAAAGGTCATCTCATTCCAACCCCCCTGCCATGGGCAGGGACATCCTCCACTACACCAGGTTGCCCAAAGCCTCATCCAGCCTGGCATTGAACACTTCCAGGGATGGGGCAGCCACAACTTCTCTGGGAAACCTACTCCAGTGCCTCACCACCCTCCGAGTGAAAAATTTCTTCCTTAGATCTAATCTAAATCTCCCTTCTTTCATTTTAAATCCATTGTCCCTTGTCCTATCACTACACGCCCTTGTAAAAAGGGATGGCTGGGGGGAGGTGCAGCAGGCTCCAAGCAACATGAGTGACTCCATCGGTGCTTCTCCACCGGATGGGGACGGCTGTAAGAGCTCATGGGAGTGTTTAGCAGGTGGGTTTTGAGCTGTGGTCTGCAGAGCCTCTGACCACATGTGGCCTTCTAAGGGGCTCCCCAAAACGATGATAAGCAAAGCAAACTCATACCACCTGGCAGGGAGCACCTTCCTCACTGCCCTCACCACCTGGAAAGCCCCGACCCGAGTGCCCAGCAGCCACTCGCCACGTACGTGGAACGCAGTTCCCACTGTGTCCCCACCAGGCACTGCCCTCGGCACCTCGGGGTTACTTACCAGGTCTAAACTCTGCAGTTTAAATCCGTACACAGCTCCTCGTTTGCTGCTGTTCATGTAGTTTCCAAGAGCCAAGATTATCTGCCAGGATGAAACAGAGCAGAGCGTGAATTTTCAGGACAAATGCACAATGGTCCAGAAATCTCTGGAAGGAGAGCTGGTATGTCAGCAGCCAGGTACAGTTTCCAGAGGCATAAGGGGAAGCACGGGTGAGTGGCTGAGCTATTGAACGTATCTAAAACCAGACCTACCTCCAGTATTTTCTTAAGCTTCTGAGATGACTTTATTGAGACAGATGCAGCTATTATGGCGTGAAGTTGCTGCAGATAAACACGGGAAGAGATTTGGTTAATGCACATCCAACCCAAGAGTAAAATTAAAATCTAAACGCTCACACTCTGAAAAAAATCTCCTGCTTTTCAGCCATACCATGGGCCCTAGCATGAACGTTATCCTGCCCTGACACGCCAGATTCCACACAATTCATGTGCACCACAGATTTACCCCGCTCAGATGTGGCTGGGTGAACGTGTATTCACATTCCAATCCTTACGAGTGTGGAAGATGCATCAGGCTGAACGGGACACACTTCAAAGGGCCCACGGAGCTGCACTGATAATCACAGAATCATGGAATGGTTTGGGTTGGAGGGGACCTCAAAGATCATCTAGTTCCAACCCCCCTGCAATGGGCACAAACACCTTCCACTACACCAGGTTGCTCAAAGCCCCATCCAACCTGGTCTTGAACACTTCCAGGGATGGGGCAGCCACAGCTTCTCTGGGCAATTCCTGGCCCAGTGCCTCCCCACCCTCAGAGTGAAGAATTTCTTCCTTAGATCTGTCTTCCTTATAACAACTGTCCCTGATGATACCAACAACTAGATTTTCATTTAAACTGGTTTTAAACATTTACATGGTAAAGAGACAGGACAGCATGGAGCAGTCCAGGGCACGAACAGCACCTGGGGTACCAGAGTTGTCAATACATGAAAATATAGCTTGAAAACTGCTTTTTCATTTGTCTAATTGTTTCTTGTTCTGTCTCTGTGAGAACTGACAATCACTCCACGACACCCAAACCATCTCTCTGTCTTAGAAAAACTAAAATCTCTACAACCTTCACCAACTGGCCCACATCTTGGCACAGCTGCAACGTTCCCCACTGGCTGACCTGTGCCACAGAGCGCAGCTCCCACGGGCAGCCTGAGCCCCCGACCCCGCACAGCTGACATGTCCCCAGGGGCTGTCCCTCACTCACCGGGGTCAGCATCTGGATGCTTTCTGCAAAGTTGCCTATAAACGCCATGATGGTCATCTTCTGCATCAGCCTCTCGATCTTGCTGAACTGCATCATGAACCGGTCTTCGTCGGACAGGTTCTCGATGGGTTTCCTCTCCCGCTCGTAGAGCCGCAGCACTTTCACTTCGTTCTCGGTGGGCAGGAACCGCATCAGGCACTCAACAAAATCCACCGGCAACGTTTTCAGGTCAAACCTGCGTGGTAAGAAACCAGAAGAAGTGGTGTTACCACAAGGCTCTACATGAAACGATAGAACAGTAAGACAAGTGCAAAAGCTGTCAACGGCACGACCTCTGCTTCCTATGCTGCTCAGCTACACATGAGCCTGAGTCAGAAACTATAAAGATGCTCTGAAGTTACTCCTCTCTTGTTGCCCTGGCTGGGGTGGGGAGCACGGTCCTGCACGTGAAGATGTGAACGAGGTTACTGTGCTGGTGTGAATGGTGCTGCTGGGCACCCTGCTTCTGTTTCCAAAGAAACAGTCCCACCACTCCTCCATGGCCACATCACATTTTTATCGGAGAAGACAGGTGGGGAGGAGCAAGGGGCAGTCCTATTTAATCTGGCCAAAGCCCTGTAAACCCCAGCGGCTGAACACGCCTCAATCTGCAGCAGTTCTGGGTCACCCTCCTCACCAGCCCACAGGTAACGCTCACACATCCAGATTTTGAAGATATCCCTCAGCAGAGAAACAGCAGATGTTCATCATGGCCACGAGTACTCAGTGCTTCTGGATGGACTGTGGATCGGTGCCGAGGAGCAGGTACACCCATGCTCCATCCGGGAGCTGCCGGGGTCAGCAGGCTGCACTCCCGTGGCCGGGGTCTGCCACGTACCCTGGGTACACCCACACCACACTGGGGTTTGGCACCGCCTGGGGCTGTTACATGAACCCAATTCCATGCAAAACCCTTTCAGTCCACTTGGACTAAACTCCTGAATTATGGAGCAAACTAAAACAGTTGTCTCCTGCTGATCCTCTGGCTTTTGAGTGTTCACTATAGCAGAAAGCCCTGCGCAAGCAGAACAAGAGATGCCGTATGCAATGGCATACTGTGGCTACACACGTATTAGCTTCTTTAATAAAAGAAGTGTTGATTTGTTAAGCCTAAATAGTGATGTAGCAACATAGTTTTTTATTTTAGTTCAAGGGAATCTGAATTCTGGGAAATCACAATGGTCCTATCCTTACTCTTTGATTTTTTCCAGATGCAAAAACACATCAACTGCCAATTCCAAACCATTCCACTTAGCAAAAATCACAGCAAATCTTAAACATTTCTTTGCTGATAAGTGTGTTACTTACACGTGAATGGCTTTGCATATTTCATCTGCCGTCTTTCCAGCTTTTCTTAAAGTAATGGCAAGATTTTTGGCCCTGTTGGCATCCAGTAACGTGACTTTGTTCGACCCTTTCTGAGTTATCTTTTGCTTGCTTGAAGTAAGATCAATGGCTGGACCTTGGGCTTTTGTTTTGAATATTTCTTCGAATTCATCCACATTTAAATCCTAAAAAGGAAAGAAAATGACTTATCCCTCCCGCAGCAAACACTAAAACCCGCGCTGCCTACTACCATTCCACAACTGCGGTATGAACCCCGCGATGCCGTGACTATGGTCCAGTATTTCCATCAGCAGCTGCAGGTCGTAACGACCACAGGCTCCTGAGTTAGTGCTCAGGAAATCTGGCTTCCACCCCCGATTGCACGCTCAAAAGCGCAGGAAAATATTCACGTCAGCCCTCAGGTTTTATCCAGCCACGTGCCCAAGCCTGGCTCCTCCAGACCGCACCAGCTGGGAAAAATGCATCTTCCTTCTCTTGGTTGATCCGTTTTAAACAAATGCACACAACAGGTATGCACCATCAATACTACCAGCTACCAGCCCTAATTCTCCACCAAGGCACTCATGCTGACCTTACACCTTTCCTACGGGGCACCAGGGGCCACTGGATGAGCTGTTTGCCAAAATAATTGCTGTGACCTATCCCCACAAAGAGTGATAGTCACTGGTGCCACGGACAGAAGTGGGAGGCAGAAGGTGGCCAGCAGCACTCGTACCTCCAGGATTCTTTCGTCATCTATTTCGTTGAAGACCGTCCCGTTGATCTGGTTGGGTTTGAGGGCGACCCAGTTGAACACCGGCATGCGGAACTTGGTCTTGATCGGCTTCTTGATTTTCACAGCTAAAGACAGCAGAGGAGAGGAAATGACAAACTCCCCAACGGCTGAAAACCACCTCCCGTGCCCAGGCTGCCATCTTTATCAGCACTGGAGGGAGAGCCACCCAGAGCTACATTATCACACTGGAAAGCCTGGAAAGGCAAAAAGCAGCAAGCAGCTTTCCCCCAGCCCCTGCAGAACTGCACTGAACGCCAGAGGCTGCACAAACTTCACTAAAGGAAACGTCTTATGACTTTCTTACCGCATGTTGTCTGGATTGATCCAAAAGCCTGGGCTATTTTTATGGAGACAGTGGTCGAATTTAACCCTGTCCTGCTGGCTGCAGAGCCCACCCCAGCGTGAGCTGATGCAAAGCCACGCGCAGCTGATCTGCCATCAGCATCACAAAACTCAACACTGAACAGGTGACAAGAAGCAAAAAAGCCCCTTTTCCAAGGTTTTGGTACAGGGAGCAGCCCTCCTGCTGCCTGCTGCAATGGGGCAGTGCTGCTGCGCACCGGGTTTGTCTTTGGAAGCAGAAGGGGGTGGGCTGCAGCACATGTGAGCTTTAATATGGTGGAAATAACAGGTTTAATCTTCTTGTGCTGTGCAGAACCAGTAAGTGATTCAGTAACTTACACAGAGAAGCTATGAAAACGAAGTGTGAATAGAGTACAAAAAAGCCACGTTGGCACAAGGAAAACAGCACTTTTCTATTGCTATTCCTAAAAGGCCTGGATGGTACATGAGTAATTTCTGTAATTCCATCCTCATTTCTTTCTATCTTGATGTAAAAATGAAGTTGTTAGTTGCTACAAAATCAGGATGCTCATTAAAGCGCTCAATCAATGCTTTGCTCCCAAATTACTTAGAAAATAAACTGTTTCTTTCCAAGCTGCAAACGTGAAACAGAAATCCTGGTCTTTCCCCTCCAGTGCTGGAAAAACGTGCCGTTCAGCCCGCCGCGGCGGTCAGGGGCAGAGGCATGCAGGGGACACCCCCAGTGTGTGCCCATGCCAGTTCACCACTCCCCCCAGCCCAGGATGGATCCCCTTTGGTTTAGTTCCATCCTGAGCTCACTCCCAACTCCTGCCTACCCTGCGCCTGCGACAGGACAAATCCTGCCAAATATCTGATGCTCTGTAGAGATGCTACATCTTTCCCCCTCGGTTTCAGGAGACGGCCGGGTTCCCAGGTTGCAAAGCACTTGAGCAAATAATTATTTTACTTCCCCCTAACAGTTCTGCAAGTATGTTTTTGCCAGGACAGACAGGACCTATTTCAGGGGACACTCCTGTCGCGCACCGGAGGTGGGTGAATGCTGGAAACATTTCTCTTGCTTTGTCATTCCACTTCCAAAACAAGAATTGAATTGTGTGTCCATGTCCCTTTCAGCTGGTGATCATTTTGCAGGGACATTGCAAAGAATAAATTACTGGCAAGAGTATTGAAACAAAGAACCATAAGTGAATAACCAGGAACATACACAATATTCAGCTGTGGTTTTTGAGAATTATTTTCATCCAACTGGAAGACATAAGCACACGTGATCAAGTTCTGCTCATCTAAACTAAACAGAGCTTTACTCTCTGCTTAATTAGTGTGGTTACTACAAAATAACTCCTAAAATAAAAAAAAGAAATAGCTTTTTCCCTCTGAAATACCCATGAAAAAAAGCCATATTCCACTTGCACATGCATTAGAATAGATTATTAACAGCTCCTGGGTTATTTCAGGACAGGAAAGGAAGCTGCCTGCCTTGTGGGCCAGTTCCTGATGCAGCTAATCAAAACCTCTTAGAATTTCTCTTCCGAACGTCCCTGCTAAAATAAAAAAAAGAAATAGCTTTTTCCCTCTGAAATACCCATGAAAAAAAGCCATATTCCACTTGCACATGCATTAGAATAGATTATTAACAGCTCCTGGGTTATTTCAGGACAGGAAAGGAAGCTGCCTGCCTTGTGGGCCAGTTCCTGATGCAGCTAATCAAAACCTCTTAGAATTTCTCTTCCGAACGTCCCTGTGCCAGGGCTCTGGAATGGTCCTCCATTCCAGAGCCCTG